CTTTCTAAAACACTTTGTAGCCTCACTCTCATTATCAGTGGTGCACTTCACACCCATGAAAGAGACTTTACTTACTGCGACTTTTAGGCATCATATGACTCTTGAACCTAATGTTCTGATACCAAGTTTTCATGCCTTGAGGCTACCCCTTTGATGTAAACACATGACCTAGTATCATGAGTGACCCCAAACAAACCCTGAAGCTATGATATCATAAGCATACTAAAACAATTTGAATAAAAAGATATTGTGCAGAAACCAAAACAACGGTAACTAAAAACAGGGATTACCTAACTAGTCTGAATATATGAAATATACTAAGAGTTCAATAATATCTAAAAAAATCAAACTCAAATCTAAAGCTGAATCTAATCCTATGTCCAAAAATCCTCTAATAACTTAACTAGTTGGTTTGCCCTCAGATTAGCCTTGAAAAAGTTAAACTGAAATGAAAGACTAAATACAAAAACATGTATGTTTCCTCAAAGTATATTGACTCACTACTGAAGTTGTTGAGTATAGACCGAGAACCTATCTATGTATGAGATGGATGTTGTACCTGAACCTACATCATAAAAGGATGTAGCACATAGTATGCGTTAGTACTTGGGAAAGTATTGAACATGCAAGATATATAATATATCTGAACAAACATATAAACAGAATAGAGCATAACTCAGAAACGATGTTACCTAGACATGATAATCTGATCAAAAACACTAGAACAGCTAAAGCGCAATGATTTTCCAAAGTTATAGAAACCCTAGTCTAAATATGATGAAGGGAACCAGTAATCTGACTGAATTCTAGGGACCTACTAGATGAAATGAACCCACTAGTGAAATTCCACATACCTGATGATGAAATCTACAGGGAAATCCTATGATTTCAGGGCTGGAAGTTATGAACCCTGCTTCCTTCTTGGAAGTGTTTGGGTCGCCTCTTTTCTCCTTTTTTCCCTAAGTGTGATGATTTTTTAGTGAATGAATCGCTTAGGGAAAGATCTGACCAAGTTACTACGCTTAAACTACCAAAACTATGTACTTTAGAAATCAAACGACGTAGTTCAAGTGCCCAACGCATAGGGGAAAGGAGACCGTCACTTAATTTTGACAAAGTCCACCCACGGAGGGACCTACGATCCGTGGGTTGACCTACCAACCATAGGTAGGGGTCATCCATTAAGTCTTCTCGATAGGGCTTCACTAAAACAAGCAGAACTTTTTACTCTAAGACGGAATTTTAGCAAACTCGATGGTGTTGAAATAAGATTCAATTATTTTTCTTTTGGTAGGTCATGTGCCACCTAATTCCTTTTATGTAAAGAATTACAACCGTTTGAAGTTGATACAACATCAATTTGCCTCTAGCAAGCTGCTAACCCTCACCTACCATCAGTCATACCATTCGTAGGTCCAACCACAAACCGTATTGGTTGACTGTGGGTGGGATCAGAGACTATAAAAATTTGGGCCTTAACGATGGAACCCCACCTATGGTCTGTGGTTCGTTCCGTTAGCACTGGAACCAGATTTTCTTCGTTTTGTGATCAGATGTGTTATAATTACAAATGATTGAAATACAATGAAGATTCTTCAAAAGCCTTTTGATTCATCAGAAAACAACATAACAACAAAATTTAAAAAAGATTTAAAAGTAATCATGAAATTATCATGGAGAAAGCACTACTAAAAAAAGGCCAAAAAGAGACCTAGAAATGGAGACCTCAAAAATAGGTCAATATTAAGAGACCTCATGAGGTCGCTATTTAAATTAATATCTTTTATTTATTTTTTTAATGTAGGAGAGACCTCGTGAGGTCAATTTAATGAATATTTTTTTTACCTCACTTATTTAAAAATTTTAAATTTTTAATCTAATTCTCATAAAATTAGAGACCTCATGAGGTCTCTTAAACAAAACCAAAAACCTAGCCAAAATTAAAATAGCTCTCTTTCTTTCCTCTCTCTTAATTTTTCGTCGACCGCCTCTCTCTCTTTCTCACTGACCTCGTCGACCCTCTCTCTGTATCGTCTCTCTTTCTCGTCGACCCTCTCTCTCTGTATCGACCCTCTCTCGATGTATCGTCCCTCTCTCTCTCATCGCTCATCGCCAGCTCTCCGCCGCCAGCAGTCGTGCTTCAGCAGGTGGAGGTCGCGCCGCAAGAATGGAAGTAGTTGTAGGTTCCTTCATGGTGCTGGGCCTGGTGAAGGTGAAGTTGGGTCACCAAACAAGTTTGAGATGATGGAACATTGACAAGAACATCTCAGATCTAAGTCTGCTCACCAGCAAAGACTAGCCACAGCTTCTCAGCTCATGGCTTCTTCTAACTTTCCTCTCTCTCCCATGGCTGCTAACAAATGCATGAACTTTCTTCAGCAGCAACAGTTGCAGTCTGCTGAAAGCCCAAGGTTTGAACGTCACCCCCCTCTTTTCTTCTTACTGTTTTTATGGTATTAAAATTTTTTTGGAACTTTGGACTGATTCTTGATGTGAAATTTCTACAGGGCAGCTGCTGCATTGATGATGGGTGATGACATGCACAAATTGAGCAGAAGTCGTTTTGAAAGAGGGGATTTTGGACTGAATGGTGGAGTTGGAATAACAAATCCACGTTCAAGGCAAATTTACTTGACATTTCCAGCTGATAGTACTTTCAAAGAAGAGGATGTTTCCAATAATTTCAGGTATTATTGGTTTGAAAAAAACAATGTATTAAAGTTGTTCCCCTCATTTTGAAGTTTTGGTTTCTTTAATCTTATTATTCTTGATTTTCTAGCACTTATGGGCCTGTTCAAGATGTGAGGATTCCATATCCGCAAAAGAGGATGTTTGGTTTTGTTACATTTGTTTATCCGGAGACTGTGAAGACCATTCTTGCCAAAGGAAATCCTCATTTTGTATGTGATGCTAGGGTGCTTGTCAAGCCTTACAAAGAGAAGGGCAAAGTCCCAGAGAAGTTTAAGTATTAATCCTTTTTATCACAACTACTTACTTATTGTGAAGTTTATATTCTTTAAATTGATTAATTTGATGTTGGGATTGAAATTGCAGGAAGCAACACCAACAGCAACAGCAGGAAGCAACAGCAACAACATATTGATATTTGATATTTGTTTTGTTGCAGAGAATGGTTTTGCACTCAATTATGGATCATTTTGTTAACTTTATAATATTGTGATGGGAATTATTTGTTTTGTGAATACATGATAACGTTGGAATGTATTATATAACTTATGGATACCATGGCTTTTGTTTAATATATAATTGTGTTGAAGTGAGTTGCAATTGATTTGATTTGGTTACTGAATTAAAATGATAGGTGATGAGAAGCCGCAGAAATAATAATTTTCTGCCAGTTTTTTTTCCAGAAAAAGAGACCTCATGAGGTCTCTTTTTTGCATTAATTATCCAGATATTTCATAATAGAGACCTCATGAGGTCACTTTTTTGCATTAATTTTTCCAGATATTTCATTATAGAGACCTCATGAGGTCTCTATTTACCATTTTCTATTTTATAAATGCAGAAAAGAGTCCCTTTTGTATTAATTTTTTCAGCTATTTCATAATAGAGACCTCATCATGTCTCTAATTAACATTTTACATTTTATAAATGCATAAAAGAGATCTCATGAGGTCTCTTTTCTGCATTATATTTTCCGTAAATTTCATTATGGAGACCTTACGAGGTCTCTAAAAATAAATGCAGAAAAGAGACCTTATACGGTCTCTCCTTTAAAATAATATAAAATTAAATTAAATAATATCTTAGCGACCTAATGAGGTCTCTTTATTAAAATATAAAATTAAATAATATAATAAATTTGTGACCTCATGAGGTCTCTATATAAAAAATATAAAATTAAATTAAATAATACAATAGTGACCTCATGAGGTCTCGTTTTTGTAAAAAATCAGATAATTTGTTGGTGACCTCGTGAGGTCTCCGTTTGGCGACCTCATGAGGTGTCTGTAAAAAAGTGACCTGCATTTTATTGACCTAGCGTTGAGGTCTCTTTTTCGGTCTCTTTTTGGCCTTTTTTTAGTAGTGAAGGAAACTGAAATAGACCAAAACAAATTTAAAGTATGAAGGGTAATTTTGATGTTTAGTGAGTTTATCCCATGATAAAATATGATGAGATTACTATAAAGTATATACAGTCTATAGGTAAAGATAAATTATCCCGATATTAATTATTAATCACACAATAAGTTATCTCGAATTGGACAACTAAAAATAAATTAAGTGGCATCATATTTTAATTCCGAGACTATATGTTGTTATCCCTCACAATAATCTACCCCTTAAAAGTTTGGAATTGATAAAATAAAAGGATCTAACTTTAACACAAAAGACAAGGGTTAATTTACAAACTTTTAACACTATTAAAAGTTTGCATTATTAACTTCTTCTACCTAATACACTTAAATTACATAATTAGTATGCAAAGATTAAATAATACATGAATTACGCATACCTGCAAAAAATAAATGATAAATGAATTACGCATACCATTATAAATTTACTAATTATTAGTTTGAGTGTTTGACTTATTCAGGTTTATTCCTTTTAAATGAACATTAATTTTGAGGGATCTATTATTTTTAAATAGTAAGTACATTAATATATTTTCTAATTTCAAGTTAAATAGTAGATTATTTTTATTTGAGCAGGTGCAAAATTTTATTAAGTTACTATAAAATAACCAAAATATTCTAGTATTGGTAAAATATATTCACTATAGTTAATTACAAATTGATAAATTTCATCTAGAATATTAAACACCAACTTACCTATTTAAATTAACTTTTAGATTAATTTATCTTATTATAAAATAAAATTTGGAATATAACATTAATAAAAATTTTCCTTAGTAACTTCAAGTATCAAGAAAAAATTGCTTTTATTGGGATATTTGACAAATAATTTAATGACCAATGTGAAATTTCTGTATATAAATATGCATTATATTTCCTCTTTTTAGTACACATATTTTTAAGAGAGAATTAACTAATAGCATATTTTAGTATATTCAAGCATGGAGCATAAGAAGACGGCAGGACGCCAAAAAATTTCATTGGCGAAAATAGAGAATGAATCTGCTCGACTCACCACATTCTCTAAACGACGTTCTGGCTTATACAAAAAAGCTTGTGAACTTGTTAGAGAATGTGATGTCGCTCTTGGAATTGTTATGTCTTCACCGAAAGGTATACCTTATTCCTTTAGTAGTCCAACCTCTAATGTGGTCATTGATCGTTTTATAAATCCTACAGCAAATTTAAGTTCAAGTGACCGCCTTGTTGCTGCAGAAGCACGCAAAAAAGTAAGTCAATTTTATGATATTCTAAACGAATTGGACGAAAGAGAAAAAATTGCAAATGAAAAATTAGATCGAATGAATGAGGCTAGAGATCTAGGTTGGTGGGAGTCCATAGATCAATTGAATGTACGTGATGTAAAGAAGTTGGAAGCATGGCTTATATCTGGTGAATTTAAATTGAACGAACATTTGGAGCAGCTTGAAAATGGAGCTTCATCCTCCTCACAGATTCCATCAGATGATGCAAATATCTCACCAAATGTCTTCTAGATGAATTATCTTCAGATATTTATCAAAGTCCTTTCCTTAATTTTTTTTGTTATTTATTATTTTGTTTCAATTATGCTATTTAATTCTTGTACTTTGCAGTTTGCAATGATATTTGTTGAAGACATTTATATTTATGATTACCCATTGTCTCCAACAATGTTTGAATTAATACGCAAACTAATATAGGAACCTCTCAATTTATGTAAAACTGTGTTTCAAGCACGTCATATCAAAAAAATAATATGAAAAATAGAGGAGAAAGAGATATATGTGACTAAAACTTACTAAAATACAAAAGAATATAACTCTTTGTGACGAAAGAGTTTGATATAAATCAATATTTAAAGGAGAATTTAAAGTCTTCAAGTCTTATTTCAAAAAGGTATATAAGTTCCAACAAGGTAAATTCATATTTTTTGGATAACATAAAAAGGGAATTTAGTGCAAAACACATCCAAGTACATTTAACAAGAATGCTGGTAAAAGAAATTGACTGAAGACAAACTTTGGTCAAAACATTACAGTTGAAATACCTATTGACATAAATTTGCATCGAAAGCCTTGAGGCCCAAACGAACCATGCCACTAGCCCAAATTGGCCTTAGGAGTTGATGGAACCGACGAAAATCGCATTTGATACCTGAATTTCAAATGCTGACTAAAATCACCCCTCTCGCTTAAGAACTTCTATAGCGAGAAAAATCCGTATAAAACTCAAATGAACGATCCGATGTTCGAACTGTCTGTCCTATAAAGTCATAAATAACTTGAGGTCACTGCAGGATCATTACATATTGATAATACAATCACACCTTAAAATAAATTTTAAAACTTCATGCTTCTATCGCATTGAGATTCAACAATTGTTATTATCCAAAAATGAATCATTTATAAAGTAGTAAGTGGGTTATTTACATACAAAAGTATGTAAAATTCATGAAATGATTGTCGGCTACATTAATTAATCATTGGATGAAAAAAGTAAGAAATCTAGTGAATTTGTTTGAAAATTGAAGTCAATATCATTTTATGAATTCTAGTATAGATTAATCAAAGTGAAAGTACATAACTTGTTTATGCACATGCACGAAACAATGTGAATAACTTCTTCTTCTATTTTGTTTCAACCGAAGAAAAATTATTACCGCACAACTCTCTAAGAGTTTTACTAAGAGTTTTCTGGTACTCATAAAACCCATAAACCCATGACTACCAGGACTCTTAACAGACACTACGAATCTTCCCGCTTCCTAGTAATCAAGAAGCTTCACTACTGTTGCATGATTGAGAGGGTTGGTTAAAATATCAGCAGCTTGGTCTTCACTTTTGCCGTAGACAACATCAATGATCTTATCCCTTTGTGAGATCTCTCAGGAAATGAAATTTCACATCAATGTGTTTGCTCCTCCCGTGCAAAACTCGATTTTTCGGATTTTTTCAGATGTTCGGGTTTTTTCGAAAAAGTACTCATAGAAACATATAATCTACTTGTACTTCAAATATTTCATTAGTCCTACCATAATGCAACTATCTAAGTTATTTCACAAGAAAATAAAAGTAATTATGATATGATTGATTACCCTAAAATATCCAACAAAAAAATAATAATAATTTTTCTTAAAAGAAATATTGCAAATTAATAAGTAATTATGAAATTGATCATCATTTAAAGTACTAAAACATGCTAAAATAAGTTTAGTAAGCATTAATTACATGACTAAATATTAAAAGAAAGTAAAATTAGATCATGTATTTTAATTGTCTAAATCTATGTAAAACTAAAAAATAAATATTCAATATTATTGTTATTCTTAGTGTTGAATTGATTTTCTTTTGCATTAATATTACTCCCTCCGTTTTAAAAAGGATGATCTAGTTTGACTTGAAACAAAGTTTATGAAAAAAAGATTTTTAATCTTGTGGTTCTAAATTAAAGTTATGTTAAATGTACTAAAATGCCCTTTAATCTTGTAGTCTTAAACATGCACGTGGAAAGTTAAAGTGTAAGTGTTCCTAAAAAAGAAAAAGGGTCATTCTTTCTGAAACAAACTAAAAAGGAAATAGAGACATTCTTTTTGAAATGTAGGGAGTACTATGATTTTAATTTAAATTTCATTATAATTACTAAACATGTATAAACTATAATCTTTATTAGATCATTAAGAATTCTAACTTCCAAACAAGAACAATTATATTAAAAGGTAAAAATTATATAAAAAAAAGTATAAGAGATTTAAAAATCATATCAACGTATGTATTTTTACTATAAAATAAAATTTTACAAATAAATATATAATGCAAGGTTGGTTTGGTCTCGGGTTGATTTTTTGTAGTTGAAACCAAACCAACCCAAATATAGGCGGATTTTTTTCAACACCAAACATAGTCAAACCAAACCAAAAGTCGGGTTTTTTTCGGTTTGACTCGATTTGCGATTTGGTTTGATTTTGTGTGCCCCTATCTTATAGTCTTGCATCCATGTAGGTCATCTTCGGACACGAGGAACAACTTTCACTGCTTCGATAGGTTCTTTTGTAGGTGGAAAAACCTCAACAAATGGAGCAGCAGTTGCTAGAATTTCAGACCTTGGAGCTACATCTTCAAATTCATCATCACATAGAACTTGACTAGACAACTTTTCATCCTAGTTCCAAGTATTGTCTTTATCAAAAACATCTCTACTACTCACTATCTTTTTTTCAAAGGATTCAATAGATTGTACGTTTGGTTGTCTCGCTAAGACCAAGAAAGACATACTTAACGCCTTTATCATCAAGTTTTTTACTCTTTACGTCTGGGACATGTGCATAGGAAATGCAGCAACATTTTTTGAAGTGATCTACAGTCGGTCTCCTTCCACTCCAAGCCTTCTCTGGTGTGATATCTCAAAGAGCAAAATTAGAACTTATATTTAAGATGTGGATTCTCCAATTTACTGCATCCAGTCAAAATGCCTTCAACACTCTTCCATGAGCCGACATGCTTCGAACCATGTCAAGAATGGTTCTGTTCTTTCTCTCCAAAACACCATTTTGTTGAGTTATATATTCTGTTGTGAGCTTTTTTTTATGCCACAAGATTTACAAAATTATTAAAATGTCTTTGAGCAATATTCGCCTCCACGATTTGTTCGAAGGCTTTTTTATGGTCTTCCCTGTCTCATTCTCAACAAGTGCTTTGAAATATTTAAATACATTAAAAGCTGTTGATTTTTCGAGCAAAAAATATACCCAAGTCTTTCGAGAATAATTATCAATGAAGGCAATAAAAAAAATTTTGCCTCCGTTAGAGATTGGTGTTATTGTCCCACAAATGTCTGAGTGAACTAACTCCAACATCTCTTTTCTCGCCATGACTTGTCTTTCGGAAATGGAGACTGGTGTTGTTGACATCCACTTTTGACCTACTCTTGTACGATTAATTTATGAGATTCTTAATTCTCAAACAAATTCCAATAATTAGTTTTATAAAAAAAAACTATTTTTGAATAGTTTTGTCATTTTTTTTAGGTTTTATATAATAAATTTTACATGATTATATATATAATTAATATATTTTATGATTATTCAAAAATCGTCTAAAAGAAAAAGAAGAAGAAGAAGAGATATTAGTTTTAGTTAAATATTTTGACAACTAGTGTGGTTTAAGTAATAATTTATTTTTATTTTTTTGTGTTAGTTAATTGATAGTCGAATTAACTATTTTATTTTGTTAAAATTAAAGAAGGCTTGTTAATTAATTATATTTATTTGTCTTTAACTTTATTCATTTATCCAATAATTTGGCTAAATGGGTATTTTTCTTTAAGTCAACTTTGGGCACAAATTAATTTCCAGCCCACTCCATTTTAACTGGATCCAATTTCTATTGCAGCTGGCACAAAATTGTTAGCCCAACAACTTTAGTAAATTATCCCAAATTCCCACCACCCCAGCCCAGTTTATACCAATTACCCCACCCATCATCTTCAAAGAAAAGTCCCAAATTCCTAGTGTACTGTTAGGATCGAAAATAAGTAGGTGCAAATGCGGAAGCTAGCAAAGCAAACCTCGAAATATCATGAGTAAGAAGACAATGAGAAAAATACTAAAAGACACAAAGATTTAAAGTGGTTCGGGCAATCGACCTACATCCACAAAGGAGATGAGCAATCCACTATAAATATGAGAGTACAAAATATAGAGAGAAACAACCTCAACCAATTAACTCGAAATACATGGGAGGTTCACACAAGTGATAACGTATCAAGCTTGTGACCCATAAATTCTACCCCTAACCAAAACTCTCAAAGTCATTAAGACTACATTGTGAATGTTGATTAAGTTAGAAGGAATATGTCTCTATTTATAGAGTCCTAAACCTTTTCCTACTATAAAAAGGATTAGTCAATCCAAAACTTTTTCCTAAAAGTAAAATCTATTTATGGTAAGAAATCAGGGCAAATAAAACCCAAAAAATCTCCCCCTTGGCCTGAATTTCGGACAAAATAAATTTGTCCACTTTCTTTACTTAATCTTCACCAACTTGCTTCTCCTCTCCATAATCTCCTTTGCAAAATTTATGTCTCAACACATAGAATCTGTCTGAAACAATTTCTCCAACAAAATCTTCATTACTGTCAAAAATGATTGCGACTAGAACTACACCCACCAAGATGAACACCTCTTTCTAACCTGGTTCAATCATCGATTATCGAACCACTAAACCTGACTCGATAATTGAATCTGGCTCTGATACCACTTGTTATGACCAAAAATAAGTAGGTGTAAATGAGGAAGCTAGCAAAGAAAACCTCGAAAGATCACGAGTAAGAAGACAATGAGAAATATACCAAAAGACACAAAGATTTAACGTGGTTCGATCAATCAACCTACATCCTCAAAGGAGATGAGCAATCCACTATAAATATGAGAGTACAAAATACAGAGAAAAACAACCTCAACCAATTCACTCGGAATACATGGGAGGTTCACACAAGTGATAACGTATCAAGCTTGTTAGAAGGAATATGTCTCTATTTATAGAGTCCTAAACCTTTTCCTACCATAAAAAGGATTAGTCAATCAATAACCTTTTCCTAAAAGGAAAACCTTTTTATGGTAAGAAATAAGTGCAAATAAAACCCAACACGTACAACATCCTTCAAAATGACGAGAACAGTAGTGCAAGTCAAAATACGACAGTTTAACACATCGACAACAA